TATATATTGTCAAATAGAACTGCCCGGTAAACCGTAGGCAGAGAGGGAGAAAAGGACAACAAACGAGGGGCTGTGACAAACTGTTTCGTCGGAGTTTCACCGACTCATCTATATGTATATATGTATGTGTGTGTTGTGTGTGTGTTGTCGTGTTCACTATACACAGCTTCACAAAAAAAGCATGACACTGCCAGACTGTTTTGTCGGACTTTCACTGACTCACCTGGTGTGTGTGTGTGTGTGTGTGTGTGTGTGTGTGTGTTCCTTTGGGTTTTGCTATCGAGCTAGCTATGGATTTGAGCAATCTTGCTGATTCTTGCATCTTGGCAAACTCATCATACAAAGTCTCAACTCGCATTGTCTGTCTTCCAGGATTTGTACGTCTCTGTTTTCTGCCTGGGGCTGAACTTTAAAAACCGTCCTGGAAGAGTGAACACAAGAAGAGGCGAGAGAGGGAGAAAGTAAAAGAAAGATGTATGTAAAAAGGTCAGAAGGTGAAGAGAGGATGGATATTATTACTGGCCTGTGTGGAAAGGGTAAGGGTGGATGTTAATGCTCTGGGTTTGATGAATGCTGTTCTTGGTGGCTGCAATGTTATGGGACTGAGCGCTGGCTGCTCCTTGGTACGAGGAGTCATTTTTGTATGGAGTTTGGGCATCCTGTTGTCTGTCGATTGTTTTTTTTTTTTTTTTGTCTCCAGCAGGACTCCAACTCATGACAGGTTCATTAACAGTCACATGTGTGTTGTACTGTGTACTATTCGGCCATAGGGCAGTTACCTGTCGACGTTTTTTTTTCTGCTTGATGTCCAAAGGGTGCTGTTGCCGTATGATGTGACGGTTGAACAGTGAAAGTCTCACACTCTAATTTGTGACTCTATTATGAATCTTATCCTGTTTTTCTTTTCAATTTATTCATTTTATTTGTATATTCTGCCGAATCTCGTGCTGATTTTCCGTATATTTTGTCATGGCTATGTGCCTTTCTCCTTCGCAATGTGGTCTATGTGGTCTTCTGCTGTCTCATCGGTTTACTTCCCCCTTTCAAAGAAGCGACGGATGAAGACAATGAAGAGGTATGATGATGTTACACCAGCAGGCCTAGCTCAGTTGGTACACTCCCATTAACTGTTGAAATTATGAATCGGACCCAAGTTCGAATCCAGATACTGTCAGATGAACAGAACAAAATCATATGTAGCCCCAAGTGGCTGAACGGGACAAACATGCATAATGTCGGGGGAGGAGGGGGGAAGGGGGGGGGAAAGGGGGGGGAAGGGAGGGGAAGGGAGGGGAAGGGAAACAGCCACTGGATAATGGTTATGGGAGGAGTCATCACAACACGACGCCATGTCAAACGTCTGGTTCAATTTTTGTTGAATCTCCAACAAATGACAAGGTAGTCGCTACTAGTCGGTAATCGTGGTCCTGGAGGACGGTGCAGGACCAGACGAGCGGTTTCGGATTCGTTCCGTAAGATGTGAGGTCATGACTCATTAGACTGCTAATTTGCTGGACGAATTGTTCAGCCCAATTGCTATGAAGGGTGTAGCGGCAGCCTTCTGCTCATCTTCAACAAAGCTTCAATTGTCATCAAGGCCCGTGACAACCAACTGGGCTGGCATACCTCAGAATAGATGGGCCACGTGTTGTGTGCCAAAAAGCAAAAGCATTAAAGACTTAATGTTGATTAAACATGCCCATAGTTACCTGTAGCACCACAGTCACCATAGATTCAGAAATTGAAAACTCGTGGTAGACGGAAATTCAAATGCGGCGGATTCACAAGGAAGTAAATCTCTATCTACCTTCTTGCCACTGTACGTCAAGCAGGGAGAGAAGGTTAACGGAGGCCCGAATTTTCAGAAATGTCTCATGGCATTTATAAGAAAACCCAACCTTGACCTAAAACAAAAACAGGCAAAAAAGAGAAAAAGAAGAAAAAAAAAAAAAACACAAAAGAAAAGAGTTCAAAAGACCCCCAAACCCTAAATTCAGTTTTGGGCCCGTTGGGCAGAACCTGAAAATAGGGGGTCCCCGTGAACCATTAGTGTGCTGCTATTAGCAACTCTGTCAAGCTCTGTCAAACTCTGTCAAAAAAAAAAAAAAAAAAAAAAAAAAAGGCACCTCTGTCAAACTCTGTCAAAGTCTGTCAGAGTCTGTCAAACTCTGCTGTACTCCAATATCCTCTGTATAAGGGACGCTGGACCCGTTTTCCAGAAGCTGCTGCTCCCCACCAGTCGATGGAGCCTCCCTGGGGAGATAGTGGTATCTGCCCATATCAGCACCGCTAGCTCCCGCACGCGCAGTTTCATTAAAAAAAAAAAAAAAAAAAGAAAAAGAGAGTGGATTGAGCCGAACTCAGCCCCGCCTTGCTTAGGCGGCTCGAGCCACAAGGATAGGCCGACACTTTGCTCTGGCGAATCTCCCCCACTGCTCTTTCAGAAACATTTGCTTGCCGGTGATAAGCAACCGGACTGATGCCCCCCGGAATAAAAGGGGCTGCGTTTGTTGGTAGAAAATAACAAAGCTCCTTGTCTAGTCCTAGACTCCTCCTCGCCCCAGAAAACAGGAGTTTGATGGTACTGACCTGAGCCCATTGTGGCGCCGGAAATGGATGAAGAACATTGAAGGTGTAGGTCCACTGTTGGACCCATTGTTGCAAGTTTGCAGTTTGAAACCGCCAGTACCTTTCCCATATGTCAGCCGTGGGCCCTGCACAAGTTCTCGGGCCGCATCTGGCCGGCGCACCGGCCCGGGTGAGGCCGCCGTGTTAACCGGCGCGTTTCAGCAATTCGCCTGGGAAAGGTACTGGTGGTTTAACTGCCACAGCTCAACTCATGTAACCTCCCAATAACAACCACCTTGGTCCAACACAACGATTAACTTTTTTGGTGCCTCATCGGCGTCGCACTGCTCAGCGTCAAAAGCTTTCAGGTCCTCGGTGGTGTTTGCTTGCCTTCACGCCACTGTCCCTAACTTCTTCACCCGAATACAATGTTGGTCGTATGGTCATTTTTGCTGTATTTAGACTGAAAGATGCCCCAAATACATACAGCGATAATGACCGTATGTTGTATGTGGGCGAAGAATGTACTCTGGTGACTGTTTTCCGTCTTGCATGAATGAAACTAATTGGAATTTGGAGCACGTTTACAAAACAGAACACTAAAGTCTAAAACCATACTTGTGGTGTGCACCTGTGTGGCACAGTGTGCAGAGTGTTGCACCAAAAAATGGTGTAGGGACTCGGCTCGGGAGTAAGATTTTGGGACATTGCCCTGGCAGCCAAATGTTGCCTGGAATAATTTTTCTGCTACACGGCACGTTCTCTTTTTCCTCATGTGTTTGGAGTTTTTGTTTCGGAATTTTCAATTTTCTGTCGTGTGTGCGCGATATGTGTATTACAATTTTTTTTGCCTCACATGTGTGGCATATCGCGCACACACAAGTGACACAACAGAAAATTCCGGAATTTTCCATTGTGTGTGTGCGCGATATGCCACACATGTGAGGACAAATATTGAAAATTTTCGAAACACACACAGCTGATGCTGCTTCACACAACACAAAAGTCCGGAACAATGTTGTGCGAGGCTACGCCCGCTCAGCCCCTTCGGGGCCCTTTTTGCAACATGTCGGCCGCCCTAAGTGAAGGCAGGCGCGACAGGCCCTCAGGGCCTCGATTTTCAGGGTACCCCGCAACTGGTGAAATTCAGACAGTTGCGCTGCGCCAGTTGGTTGAAGGCGCCCAGGCCCAGGCCATATTTTGCAAATGTATCTGAATGGTGACCTGGGCCAGACGCGTGGGAAAGGCCGTGAGCAGGCCAAGGGGCAGTTGGGCACATGCAACCATCAGGCCCGGGGCCTGCGTGTGAGGTCTGGGCCTGTGCCTACCAGGGCCTACTGGAAGCTTCCTGGACTGGACGCAGGCAGGCCACTTCGATATAGGGAAGGGCCTGCCTCCTCATTCGGCATTCGAGTGCTGGCTGCATGCTGCGCTATTTGCTGGCTGGCTGGCACTCGTGCTCTCACGGGCGAGCAGGAAGTAGCGGGCAGCCATAGCCGAGCTGCTCCGCTGTGTGCTGGGTGTGACGCRGGGTGGTCCTTGGGTGCTAGTGGCATCTGTGTGGTGTGGATCGGGGTTGTGAGTGTTGCGAGAGACATACCTGGTGCTGGAAGCGTGCGGCATTGTCCGCTGAATGCTCGAACTTCAGGAAGCTGTTGTTGTCAACGTCGTCATTGTAGTATTAGGCTAGATAGGATCTGCCACATGTAGTCTGGGCGCCGAGCGCCAATAGGATATCAACTCTTGTTCCTCGTTGATGATGATGAGAGACTATTTCAGCATTGTCAAGTACGAACTATTGGTGTGATCTTATTTGGTGAATCTCGTGATGCATTTCTGCTGTTGGTTCGAGGTCAAGACTATCTGGACTCATATGTATGATGCTGTTTGATTGCTGGAGTTCGCTAATGCTC